GTAACCAACATTGTCAATAATTGCTTTTGAAGGTTATTTATACCTTTTCATCATTAGACGTTTAAGCAGCAGAAAATATCCCAAAATAACAAAACAAAATCTGAGGGATCTACTCTACTTCACTTTATATTTTCTACTTCAGTTGCAGTTACTCATAACCATTACCACACAAAATTTTTGTGTGAATAATATATCATTTAATGCTGATTATGGATATGAAAAAAGTATCCACCCATCATTTTGTGAAGAATATATAAATTTCAACAATATTTCATGGTGTGAATGGTGTGTGAACAATTCTGGATCAACAAGTAGCATAATTATGCTGCTATATTACTTAAACTGTGTTATAATATGCAGTTTATATTCTTCAGTGTGTTTTGTGGTTAAAATCATCAGTCGCTAAAACTATTGCTGATATGAAAGTTTTCTCCTAACTGTTAAGTGGATTCAACTGTATCGTTTATTCCAAGACTACAACTCGCTTATATATAATTCAGAGACTTTGTGGATTGGCACGCTATTGGTTTATATTGTTTGCTTGACGACCAGTAAATCTTTTTGGAAGTGTCGAAAGACGTGATCAACAGAAACGAGTTTACAACTACATGGAGCCAGCCAAAAGATAGCTGAAATATGTTTTTACAGGATTAGGTCAACAATTGTTTTTATTTCTCTTTTTGAAAACATCTCCATATCATTATAGCTATCATTTCCAACGAAAATTGTGGTATGCAGACTATCAACGCACATGTGGAATTAATTAAATGGATGAATGTAAAGGTAAAATAAAACTTATTCTGTGGCTGCTATTAAATTCGGTAAAGCAATTTACAATCTTATCAACAAAGGACAGTGCTACATTATTTTTGTACGTTGCAAAATGCAACACATTTCAAAAAGTATCTAGAACGGATTAGTCGCCAACATTATTTTTGTAAAGGACAAAGCATCTATATTAAAGGGACCACATTATGTTTCTCATATAGACATATCCCGTTTCGAAGCAACGACAAACACGGAGGCAAAGCGACTGAATCACAATAGAGGACAGAGACAGTTGTTCATATTCAAAAAAAGTTCAAATGCGGATACAACAACAAATTAATTAAATAAAAAAAAGTTTAATGAATACAATTATTTTTCAACATTTAATTTCTTTTTAGCTAAATATTTGCTGATATTCCAGAAAACAAATAATCATAAACATCAACGCAACCGCAGCAGTATCGTATCCACTTCTACAGTTAGCAACTACAGTCAAATCAATAAATTCACACTCTTACTTGTGCTAAATAATATTAAATACAGTACTAATTGTTGTAATAGTGTTTAGTTTTAGGTGTATAGATTCAAACAATACAATTATGTCAAAAAAGCAGACGAGAATGTTCTAAATGCTTCAGTCTGTACAACATAAAAATAAATTTTTTAATGAAATAATATAATAATTTTCAACTTTACTCTTCCGCTATTATTTGTATGGACATTGCAGAAAAGACTACTAATGCATCAACTGTTAGCATCTCATCGAAATCCTCAAAGCCTACAGTTCCATCACGTAATTTATGGGTTTCCGGTTTATCAACATTGACACGTGCAAGTGACTTGAAAACAATTTTCTCCAAGTATGGCAAAGTAATCGGTGCAAAGGTTGTTACAAATACGCGTACACCGGGTTCCCGTTGTTACGGTTACGTTACAATGTCATCATCATCTGATGCTACTCGTTGTATCGAAAATTTGAACCGGACTGAACTGCATGGGCGCATTATATCTGTGGAACGTACAAAAAATGAAATTGGTAATACATCAAACGGAGCTAAGGACTCAGCAAAAGTTACAGGTTCGCGTTCAGCATCCAAAAAGAAAGATGACGACAAAAAAAGTTCTGCTAAAGATGGTGCCAAACCTTATGATGAAAAACGGAAACTTGGTGATACTAAAAAAGACGATAAGGACAAAGATAAGGGAAAGGATAAAAAAGATGATAAAGAAGCCAAAGATGAAAAATCAAATGACAATAAACGTTCACGTGACCAAGTTCGTTCCAAGGAAGTCGATAAAGAGCGTGAACAGCGCATACGCGAAAGGGAACGTGAACGCGAGCGCATACGTCAACGCGAAATTCTCTCTTATCAAAAGATACGCGAAGAAAGGGAACGTCAGCGTTTGCGTCAAAAGGAAAGAGAATTGCGTGAAGAGGAACGTCGTCGCCGGGAGATACGCGATCGTCAACGCCAAGAAGAAATTCGTCTAGCAGAAGAACGCAGAAAGTTGGCTCAGGAACGTGAACGTCTTGAACGAGAAAAGGCTGAGCTTATGCGTTTGGAACGTGAGCGTCAAAAGTTGGAACGTGAAAAAATTGAACTGGAACGACTTGAGCTAAAGCGCCAACAAATGAAGTATGCAAAACGCGTTAAGTGCAAAATAAATATTAAAAATGCATTGAATATACTAATTTTTACATATTTTAAATGTTTGATTTTCAAACCGATTTCAATTATCCAGTTTATATGCATTGCGCATAATTCCACACGTAACTATTTAATATAAAAAAAAATAAATAATAATTTTATACATTTAAAAATAGCATGACAAAATGTCAAATGCGAATTTCATTTTAAAATTTCCCTAATCATACTTTGAAAAAAAAAAAAAAACAAAAAAATACAAAGTAGAGAAATGTAAATTTCAAATGCGAAATTTATATTCTTTTCTTGCTACAAATTTTAACAATTTCTTTTGCTATTCTCCTTTCTTCTCTTCCGGTTATGCGACTATTGTACTGAGTATAGAATGTTACAAGCTCGTGAGGAACCCATCAAACGTCATTCGAAGCACACTAGTGATGATCGGTATGCTGAAGTTTCCGAACGTAAACGTACAACAACAAATGAAGGACGTATGGAAGCACCACCACCACCTAGGTTTGATGCCAGCTTAGTATCCTCAAGAAGGTTAGCTATTTAAACGTAATTCATATACAATCATATATATATTTGTAATTTTAAACAGTTTCGATAAGAAGCGTGATGATTATAACAGTACAGCAACATCAAAACGTTTAGATTACAGCAAACGCGATGACTACACAAGTTCTAGTTCTAAACGTAGTGCCATTGACGATTATACTGCAGTACCAGCGAAGCGTAATACCGAAGATTACGCTAATAAGCGTGGAGATTACATGACAGGGGCAAAGTCCTCTCGTGATGAATACAAGCGCGAAGTTGAAATACGTCACATTCCAAGCGGAAGCACGAATAATACATTCCATTCCAAAAGCAATAACAGTCGTTATGGAGAGAGCGATCGTAGTAATTACAGACGAACTGGCATGGAGGAGATTAGGTAAGCCATTGTTATTTTAAAAAGCAATAAAAATATTTAACACCTTCATTTTTATTATAGATCAAGTACAAACAATGTTTGGCCTGCTACTGGGCACATGAGCGGTGGTAACACTATTCCAGCTAATATGCACGGTTGGCAAAAGACCATTCATACAGATGACAATACCTGGCGCCCATCACAAGGTACACAGGATCGGTATGATCGAACATTCAATGAACGCGCTGGATACGGCAACAGTGGCGCCTTATATACTAATAGTGGACGCGCTGGTCAAGATCGATATGGACCTATCTCTCGTTATTAATTTTAAAATTAAGTATATTGGACAATTTAAATATTTATAGGATGATCCATAATTACCTAATCTCAAATAATATTTAAACCGATTTTATTCAATGTAGCGATATTGCATTACATGTATAAATAATTATACTCTTATAACAACTATCACGTAATGATAGTCAAGTAGTTTTGAATTAATGTAACGCAATGCTTAATTATGTTAGTAACAACATAATTATTTCAATAAACTCATTGAGATATAAGTAATATGTATCAATTTTATTAACACCAAAAAAATTATATTCAAAAAATTAATTTTTTTTTATAGTTCGAAGAGTATTTGCACTTTCTACAATAAATTTGTAATAAAATATAATAAATATTAACATGAATTGTAAACTTCTTTGTGTATTTAATATAATTTTAGTATCAGTATTACTTCTTTTACTGTTAGTATTACTTCTCTCGATGGCATAATAGTATCAGTAGAGATATGTCTCCAGTATCAGTTCATTGCATTTGCAAAAGTCCTGATATGTCTGAATTATATTGGTTGCAATCTAAGCAAGTTCTTCTAAGGATGATATTAAAGGAGTTGTTGTGTCTACTAGTACTAAAATGCTATATGGTAAAGGATGTATGTCCTTAACTTCAACATAATAGCCTTTCTCGCACTGATCGCTTGAGGAGTAAAGTCTGAAAAGAATAAACTAATATTTTCTTATTTGTCATAAAGTATATACTAATATATAGAAAATGATTTAGCTTATGTAGGAGACAATAGTAATAGATAGCCGTAGTAGATTTATATTACGATAAGAGCCGATATTCAGCAAAAGAGTGGTGCTGTCTGTTCAGTGAAATTTCAACCAATTCAGAATAGGGAAAGCTGCAGATTTCTACTTAAATAATGTGATACCCCGTTAAGGTTTGGTAACTCGTTAAAAGGTTTTACAGTTTAGATGGGATATACTGCCCTAACCACAATATTTTCTTGGTTAGTCACATTTCAATTATTATTATTATTTCTTCCAGGTTCTATAAAATTTTTTAGCGGATAAAAATTTAATGATTTAAATCAGGAGGTGGTCATAAAAAATCTATTGAATCACTTTTTTACCACCAAAACAAGACTTTTATGAACGCAGATTCATTTTAGCGGCGGAAAGATGGTGAAAGGTGTTAGACCGGAATGGACAATATGTAATTCAATAAAGTATTTTACTATAAGAGAATCATTATTTTCATACAAACAAAAACTAAATTACTTTCTGAATAACGTTATAGAATAGTCAATGATTTAACAAATGTTGCAGGAAAATATTAAACGAATATATATGTATAAGGAAATTTGTGGGGCTGAAAAAACAATACACAATAGACTATTAAGATAGACTAAATAACATATTCAACATTAAAAGAAAGTCAAAATTTTCAAATAATTATAAGAGGAAATACAGTCAAACTTCCATAACTCGAACTTCTATAACTTGAATTTTCTATAACTCGACCTAAAAAGAGTGCATGCAAGTCTGCTTCCATAACTCGAACTTCTATAATACGAATTTCTCTATAATTCGCATAAAAATTATGTCACGTGCCAATAGGAATATGGGAAAGTGCATTCTATAAGCCCAATTTTTATTTTAAGTATAAAAGTATTTTGCTGTTAGGGGAAATCCCTTTTTCCAAACCCAATATTTAAATTTTTCTTTCTTATGTTGCTTTTTTGTGCAAATGCCAGTCGCTGACAGCGTGATTTAAAATAAATAAAATGCCAATGCTACTCTTAACGATTATATTGAGCTTGACAATGAAATTTTTACATCAAGTTTTCCCACAGATGACGAAATTATTGAGCATTATAGCTTTGAATTAGTGGATCCGATTCTAAACAAAACGGAAAGTGATGATGAGATGAGGGTTCGGTGGATGAAATTGTTCATCAGCCTTTCAAGAATGAAGTAGAAGACTCATTCAAAATTCTGAATTTTTATTTACAAACGAATGATACTCCAATTGATGATCACTATAAGAGTATGAATAAAGTGGAATCTCTTTTTATTAAAAATAAGAAAAAAATTAAAGTCCCCAACTCCAATTTCTGAATATTTTACTTCACTATAACTTCTGTGCTTTATTTGATTGCAAATAAATAAATATCTTAAAATGTAATTCTAGTTTCTTCCAAAAATAAAAAATATATAAAAAAATTCTCTAACTCGAAGTCTCCATAAGTCGAACTTTTTCTTTGCTAAATTGGACTTCGAGGTATGAAAGTATGACTGTCTATGAAAATCTATTATTAAGCATCAAGAAACAAACATATTCGAAAGAATTTTCTAAAAGTAATTACCGATCTACTAAAAGGCTACCCTATTCAACGAATTTTTCTATTTACAAAATGGACTGTGCAAGGAATCTTTTGTTAAATTGACAATTTTCAATTTGGTTTCAGGGAAGACTTCTCCACAGAATTACAACTGGTGCGAACAGCTCAGATGATACAGTCTACCCTGAGCAGAAGGGAATCAACGAGTATGATTACTTTTGACATCGCCAAGGCATTTGACAAGGTCTGGCACGACGGCCTTAAAGTTATAGCTTCCTTCGCGAGAGAATGTTCCGTGTAAGAATCAACAGTACCACCTCTTCAGTATGAAGAATAGCAGCGGGTGTTCCTCAAAGATCCCCGCTCTCTCCCTTGTTGTACAACATCTACACGTCTGACATCCCAATGCTAAGTCCTTCTGTATTATCATTATACGCAGATGACACATGCTTCTGATAAAGTTGCCAGAAATGTGACCAACATGCTGCAGGAGCATATTAATCTCATCCTGAGGTTCATCCAGAAATGGAAAATAAAAATTAACAATGAGAAAACAAAAGCCCTGTTTATTACATGTAAACACAGGCAACATCCACCGAGAGTAAGAGTTGGTGACATCGTGATTAATTGAGAGGATTGCATTAAATACTTAGGTATCACGTTTGATAAGCGGTTCACTTGGCATAAGCATATACAAGTCAAAAGAAGCAGTTGCGCTATAACACTGCAATGCTTACAACCACTTTTCAAACACAACAACCTTAACGTGAAGAACAGAAAACTGATCTATAGCCACATAATTAGACTAGCATTACTTTATGGGTGCGTCGCGTATAGCAAAGCTGCCGACTCTACTATACAAAAGCTATAAGTCGCTCAAAGGCTCTCTCTTCAAAGTGCCTTGGTACATCCGCACAAACGACATGCTAAGAGACCTTAGAATAGACCCGATCAAAAAATACATAAGGGACAGAGACCTGAAGTTATAAGCGAAAATTGATAGGCTATCCTACATACCACTACCTAATCTAAGAGTAATCACTCTCCGCACAAGTACGCAGATCTTAGATCAATCACTGAATAATCATGTAGCTTATAGGCAATACATAAATTAGTCAATAAGATGGGTGAGACCCTGTAGTACCCCCAGCTATCAAAGAGTAAAACTGCCCAGTTGCGCTGACTCGTAAAAAGGATCATCATATATACAATTTCCATATATCAACGTCTTTGTGGTAGAAAGGTTAAAGTAATGTGATGTGTTGAATTTTATGCAACAGTAATCGAACTTTAAAATCCATAGTAACTCAACGGGTGATTATTTGTATTCTAGTAAGCTTTGGTGTACAAGGCTGCCAACCTATCCTAATCTGATAGTACAAGAAGTAATTAAATTATACAAGTGTGTTTTTTTCGCTTTTAGTATTGATTTCAATAGAATATTCTTTGAATTTATATGATGTAGATATGATGAGAAAATCAAATGTTACTGTTAATTTTTTTTTGTCGAAAGTGACACGTCTTATGACAAAAAGAAGACACTGGTGATGAGTACTTGAAACAACGTTATATGGTCAGCTAAATTTCAATAAATTAACTAAAATTTTTGTTGTCTTTTCATTTCTATTTGAACCCTTCTGTAATACTGTTTCATTTTTCTATGAAGCATACGTCATTGACTATACTTACGCTAATAAGTCTAATGGCTCTAATATAAGTTCTGATTTGTAAACAGATGCTAAAAAATTAGTAAAAGCAGCTGTGTTGTTACCCAATTCTGTATCATTCTGTGTGTTGTCAGGCAGCTCATTCTAAAATATAAGTAACATAACAATTAAGTAAAAAAGTCAGAATTTATAAATTATGCCATACCTCTTTTTCTTCTTTTCGTTCTTCACCAAAGTCGGGAATACCATTTCGCTTACCCCAAAAAGTAATTACATGGTCTTCGGAAACCACAATAGAACACTGGTCATTACATTTGCACTTCTATAAATGAACCGTATATTATATATGCAGTATTTGAGAATCTATATAGAAAAACTTCTTACTACAATGAAACGTTCTTTCATGAATTCTACGAAACTAGGATATTCCACGATATTACAATGCCCAACACCACGTTGCCCATCAGAGTTATGACCCATTGTAAAAACATAACCACCTTCCACTAATAAAATAGTATGCGTTGATGAAAAACATACATCAACTATTTTATGCGATAGCTGTATTTTTTTCTAAAGAGAAGAAAAATTCCAGAGAATTTCACTTGCAGATTAGTTTAAACTTTCTTATAAAACTGTTTCTAACTTACGAACGAAGCTACTTTAACGGGCTTATTAAAACCTAATTTCTTGAAATCGTTACTACCACATACATGTAGATCACCATTCTTAAATAATATGGCTGACGTATCGGGTCCACAAAATATTCTCTCAGCCTTGCAGTTGACATGTAAAAGCAATATTTTAAGTGGTGTTTTTCTAAATATAAGACAATATAGAGCATTTCTAAATATATGATTTGTTAATCTTTTTCATTAACTGCTGTGTTTGTAGTGTACCCAAGCCAAGAGCACCCTGTACACTTGTACCCCAAGTATAAACGGAACCATCAGTCGCTAACACCAATACATGTTCCAAACCCGCTGCAATTTGTTGTATCTGCACGCCTTCCAATTTGGATATAAATTTGGGGCTATAATAGATTTTATTTTCTTCATGTCCCAAACTATATTTGGAATTATCTCCACAACTCAGCAAAGTTCCAGCTTGTGTTAGTAATATCGTAAAACCTTCACCAGCACAGGCACTGCAATTATTTCATTTAAAGCAAATATTTCTTTTCATTCTTTTCGCTCGCCTACTCTATAATATGATAATTTCGAACGCTCTCCATGCGACTTGGAAAGTGTTTCCAAGCTTCTAATGAATTTAAACCCAATTGACCATGTGTACCTTCTCCCCAACTATAAACAGAACCATCTACAAATATGAAAAAAACCACATACTTCTATAATTTCTTGAATTACTAATTATTTTACTTACCATCATTGACTACCACAAAATGTGTATCACTGGTAGCTACCGCTCGTATGCACGCTTTGGCAGGTAATTGTATAGGATTCATGGTAAAACTACTGCCAAACGATTTCAATTGATATAACACCGATCTAAAACATAAGTTCAAGTCAGATCAGTTTGTAGACTATAACATATGAATATTATAATGCCAATGTAAAATAATGATATATGTAGTGATATTCATAGTGATATCGTTCGCATTATAAAATGCTGTAAGCATACCATATATATTACATATATTAAATACCTCTTTTGTATGACTTCACAAGGTGCCATAGTTTCCGCATTCATTAATTCTTTGGTTTCGGTCTGTGCTGTTGCTAGACCATTTGCTCGAATACTCTTAAGGCTGCTGCAAGCTAAAGGATCTTCTTGTTTCAAGGATAATAAATCGGTGGTGTGTGTATTGGTAAAGGTCATGTCATCCTCATAAGAATAACTGAGGAGCATAATGTAAAATTTTTTAATAACAATATACAATATAAAATTATGTGCGCTGGTATAATAGATTTCTTTTAAATTTTAAAAGCGAAGTCTAAAGAATTATAAATTAAACTAAAAGGAAACAGTTAATTCCATAGAACAGAAACAATTCAATACTGAATAATATTTTTTTTTGTAGAAAACTAAAAATCTTAGCGTACACCGCGTTATCAAATCTCAGAATGGTTACAGGCCCCTCGGGGAGGTATGCAGATCTGAGGTCAATTATTGCTTAGTCTGATGAAGTGATAAACTATAATCCAGTCAAGGCGTAAAGAGAGGTTTTAAAAATACCAGGAGTTAAGAAAGAGTAAAAGTGCTTCATAGCTTCACCATAATAATGGTAACGTTCTGTTTTCTAACTCATAACGTATTGAAACTTACGTTAACTCCGAACCAAATCAAAATTACAAATCTTATTTCTGTTAATTAGCTACGGTTTATGGCTTCATGCAAAAGGATATAAGTAGAAGCATGGTCGTAACCAAGTAGGAAATATGGAGCGATGGTCCCTACTAAAAGTGTGTAGGAAACATTTTATAATATTTCATGAGTTTTTATTTTATAAAAACATATATCAAATCAAATCATACTTTATCTGTCAAACCATATAAAATCTTACTAATCTTACTATTCCGGCAAAATATCTAGAGTGTTGTAAATTAATCTCGAGTGTTATACATGCTGCTCCAGATTTACGATACGAAAGTGCATACGAAAGTGCATACGAAAGTGCATTAAAAGAGCATCTCAAAAGAAGAATAACCCCAGATTTGCCCATCGAAAACGCCATAAGACTCTGTAAAAACATCGTACAAGAGAATATACCCCAGACCATGTTGACCAGACAGAAATTTACACCGCATAAAATGCTGAACCGACAATACTTTTGTTTATCTTTCAATCATATCATAATGTATTAAATATACATAAACTTATGTATACATATAGTCCTACGATTGACAGGTTCAAGCAATGCCTGATGGTGACTTATTAAATTTACTAAAGAAAGGGGTAACGTACGCATGCGGCTTCGTACCACCAACAATGTACGCTCCTATGTTCAGAAAAAACCACACGTTGGTAAGCTACGATCACGAGAGACAGCCGAAGTCTTCGCCGCTCAACTGTCTAGCCGATTAAACAACCAACCCTCCCGTCTCGATAATGCCGGTAGACAATGGGGTCATATCTCTCACTCCCTACGCACAACTGCGGAAGAAGTCCTTGATTTTCAACGTCCCTCGCAACGAAACCAATGGTACGACAAGGAGTGTCGCCAAACTACTGCTGCGAAGAGCGCGGCCAATAAAAAGACCCTGTAGTTAGCAGCAACGCAAACTGTGCATGAACAATATCGGGAGATAAGAAAGTTAGATAGGCGCCTATTCTGAAGAAGAAACGATATCCAGAAAGGCGCGAGCGAGAGAAAATCGAGGTGTGTAGAAACAGGACTGATGCCCCTAAATTTTATTGAAAAGTCAACCGTCTGACTCAAGGCTTTAAGTCTGGTGCATCAACCTGTAAAGACGAAAATGGTAATCTGGTTGCAGATACTCAGAATTTACTGAAAGCATGAAAATAGGCGATGATAACATCAACTCTGCCTTTGGAGAAATGCTCTCTGTGTTCCCTATCGAAAATTATGACGCTGAAATTTCACCACCTAGCGATAACAAAATGCGTGTTGCTATACAGCGACTTAAGAACAACAAAGCGACAGGCGCAGATGGCCTATCCGCTGAATTCTTCAAGGCCAACGGCGATATGTTGATAGGGTGCATACATTAGTCTATCTGCAGAATATGGTTAGATGAAAGTATGCCCAGCGATTGGAACCTCATGACCCTTTGTCCTGTCTTGAAAAAAGGTGACCCAACGATTTACACCAACCATCGCGAATCGACAAATCCTGGAAAAAGCCCACGAACATAACATCGACACACACCACCTTTTTTTCGATTATAAAGCAACTTTCGATAGCGATAAAGGATCGCGTTTACGCCGCAATGTCTGAGCTCGGTATCCCTGCAAAGTTAATTCGACTTTGCAGAATGACGTTGAGCAATACCCCTAGCTCCGTCAAGGTAGGATCAAATCTGTCTGAAGGTTTTGATACCGTACCGACAAGGTGATCCCTTATCATGTGATCTCTTCAATTTTGTCATGGAAGTGATCATGCGTAGGGCAGGTGTTCATCGTAATGGAACTGTATTCTACAAATGTGTCCAGCTCCTTGCTTCCGCCGATGATATTGACATCATTGGGCGTAGCAAGCGTGATTTTACAGCTGCGTTTGCTGCTACCGAAAAGGAATCTGCACGAATGAGCTTAGCGGTGAATGAGGGCAAAACGAAGTATATGTCGGCTACTGGTAGAAATATGCGTCGCTCGGACGCCGAGCTAGTGGCAGGGGACTATAGTTTCGAATCTGTCAAGGATTTCATCTACCTTGGCACCGCCGTAACGAACACCAATGATGTCAGCCTGAGATCAGACGAAGAATCACCTTGCTAATAGGTGCTACTGTAGGCTCAGTAGGCAATTGGGATGTAGAGCTCTCTCTTGAGAAACTAAACTTACGCTCTATAGCTCGTTCATTCTCCCTGTGCTTCTGTATGACGCAGAAATATGGACGTTATCACAGAATGATGAAACAGCACTGGAAGTGTTCGAGAGAAAAGTTCTTCGTAAGATTTTTGGTCCTATACGAGTTGGCGACAACTACCGTATAAGAATGAAACACGAGCTGTATGAGCTTTATCACGACTTTGATATAATTCAGCGCATTAACATCCAGCGGCTTCGTCAGAATGGATGAAAATGCTCCAGCGAAAAAGGTGTTTGAAGCAGTAGTTGGCGGAAGAAGACGTAGAGGTAGACCGTGACTCCGGTGGAGTGATCAACTTGAGGGAGCACTAACTGGACTTGATGTACGAGACTGGAGAAGGCGCGCACACAGCAGAGGCGCCTGGGGAGACATGCTGCGTCAGACCGAAACTCGATAACGGGTTGTTATGTCCAAATAAGTAAGTAAGAAAGTAAAGAAATGTGCAAATTTACGCAGCAGTTATCAATTATATTAATATTTTTTTACTACTCTTTCAATAATACATACCCTTTACTTTTTCCTAAACTACGAAATATAAGCGGTATCCAGTATTCCAATATTTCTGACGCCGTAGGACGTTTTGAAGCATCAACCTAAATAGTAATCGAAACATGTTATCTACCCATTATATCAAAAACTAGTTTTCTCCTCCTCATCTTCCTTTTTCTGTAATATGTTTTATTTTACTTATTTCAATTATACCTATATTGTATTTAAGGAGTCTAAAAGTATTTATTAGTAAGATTCATTTTCTTTCACTCCTATACTGGTATATATTTAATTGAACTATTTTTAAATCCGAACTATTTTTCAAACAAATTACATTTATTATTCTATTTTGTGAATAGTTAAGATAATGAGGAGTAAACTTATTTGTATAATGCATAAATGGATTTTTCAAACAAATATAGACCACACAGGAAGTATCATAACATATGAGTAGTAACTATGTGGTCAAATTTACCTGTAATAAGTTACTTAAGAGAGTGCGTAGACCTGACGAGTATCCAGAAGGTAGAGAACTATATGATCCCTAAAAGTAAATTACAGAGTATATACATAGTCTTTGTACAAATAATTTTCAATATATATAATAATTGCAGTATGAAGACTTTTTTCGTGGTTTCAATTTTATTTTTAATATATATAACAAGACCGTGCGATTACTTTAAACAACCAAATATTACTTTCCTGAATGAAAATCAAAATATTTCATACAGCTTACCGCCATAATTTTAGTTACGAGTTCTGATAGGTTACTTGCTGCAAAAGTTTTCTTCAGACAACACATCTCTCCGAGTATACAACCAAGGGCCCATATATCACTCTTATGATCGTATTCTTTACCTTCACACTATTAAATAGAAGTATTGAATATTTCATATATATATCAATAATTTAAGAAATATTTAAGAAATATTTACCATTTCCGGACTAAAGTAATATGGTGTACCCAATACAGTTTGAGCATGTATTTTTGTATTCATAATTTTGGATATGCCAAAATCACCAATTTTGACAATACCACGTTTATTAAGAAAAACGTTTGCGGTCTTCAGATCACTAATTAAAAAAAAATTTTTCATATAATTAATTTTATTCAAGCTTTTTACTAAAAAAAAGTAAATCCTAAAAACATAATTATTAAAGTTTTTATTAACAGAAATATGCCTGTTGGCATTACTCCCCTATAAACATTTTTTTAACCTCTTCGTTATATTATTTATCATTAAAGATTCGATATAACAGAAAAAGGATAAAAATGTTCGGCGTAATAGTAATATTTAATTGCCGAGCAAACCTATCAGGACCAGATCTTCTAGTTTTATATATCAACATATTATATCCCCGAATTGGCTTATTAAATTGTATAACTTAATTACCGGTGTAATATATTTTCCGAATGCATATAATTTATTGCACTTGATATCTGCTCAAATACTGCTATAATATATCGTTCTGGCAGATAGTCTCTTAAATGTCTGTCAGCTATTATTTGAGCTAAAGTTCCACCATCAGCATATTCCATTTCTATTAGCAAAGTATTATCTTTAATGAAACTTCCTAAATAGCTATAGACATTGATAGAAGATAATATATGTTAAGGCTTATGTCCTTACAAAATAAAAGAAAGAACTCACCTAATAATATTAGGATGATGTAATTTTGAAAATACTTCAACTTCATTCATAGCTAAGTCACGTTCTGGCGATGTTAAATCTGAGAGATTAATTTGCTTGAACACAATGTTATGTCCATCTGACTTGCGTCTATACAATATCGCCACGCCAAAGGAACCTTTTTAATATTATAATGATTTTTTAAAGAATAGTTAAGTACTCTTATTTAAAAGAATTTTAAATAAAATACCTTGACCAACAACTTTGACCTTTTCATAATTATTTAACTCGGGTCCAATAATATTTATTGACTTTGTCGTTTCTTGTGTAGCGTTTTTAGTATGCAAAGTTGATTGTTGTGATGGTTGTTGTCCAATTACAACGTCTGAACCATTTGTTGTTGTTGGAACAGTATTCTCCGACTCTACTATTTCGTTTTTTAATAGCGATGTTACTGAGGAAGTGGAAATAGAAAAAACTGAAGATTGAACTGGACCACTGAGTGTAGCACGTTTTTTAGCTTTCACTGGTATAACTATAGATGATGAATTGCTCGATGTTGATGAGTCTGAAATGCGGCCATTAAATATAGGTAAAGAAGTTGCTTTTTCTCTAATTTTTTTCATTTCCAATTATTTAACTACAATCCATATAATGCAGAAATTACTCCAAGTGAACGATGTTTGACCAATAATGTCAAAAAAATTACTCTATTAAGTTTGTTTTTGTTATGGTCAAATTTTAGGTAACCTAGCAGCTTAGTGAAGTATGTGCAATATATGTATATGACCACTAATAATTAAGTGGAGTGAACGGTTGAATTGATATGGGATGATGGATAATACATTATTATAAAAATTTTTATAAACTATCTTTTAAAAGTTGACAATTAGTTAAAAAGAGTTATCTAATACATTAATTATAGGATAAGTGTATATAAAATATAAAAAGTGGTGTCACATAGTATTTGACAGTATCTCTTTAAAAAGAGCACAACAATATTGTTATAAAAGTTTTAATAATTTACAATATTTAATCGAATTTAGTAATAACATCAGTAATTATGACATACCCGTATATTGAAAATGTCACACTGCATCTATGAATTACTCAACTAAATTCATGTCATCACGAAACAAACCCTTTCACTTGATTTAAGCATACAGTTAATGCTCAATACAGTAAAACAAACAAAAGTTAAAGTGCTTAGTAAGAACACCAAAAAGGTAAAATAATTATTGTTAAAAAGGAGTGTATACGTAATACGAAAAGTGCTATAACTGCACTAAAACTGCTCTTAACATGCGAAAATCTTTGTATAAACATTTTCAATTTTAAAACGTTTTTTTTAAGTTGATATGTTTATAATGAAAAATATTTTAAATGCGATTTTCGTCTAATTTTATAGTTTTTTTTTACTTTTTTTCAATCTGCTTTTTTTTCTGAATTTTTTTGAATTTTTTTTTTTGTTTCTACAGATATTATCGTGCAATCCTTATTTATTTAATTAATTTTAATTTAATATTATTTACTTAGAACTGAAAAAAGTAAATTTGCAAAGTTGTTGAGTGCATCACCTTTCTTCAGTGCCTGCCAATATTATACAAAATGTCGCCTCCCCTGAAACAAATAATGCTTATTTAACAAACTCACCACATATAATACCAAAATCTCTCTAACTTACCCTTTACTTGTAGCCAATACCTTACATAACGCCGGACTCCAAATCAACGAAGAGTGGCACATTAACTCTTCGAAGCCTATGAGATCCAGTCCAATATTCTTCACATGCAAATCCATCCAATCTAAGCTCGCCACGGAAACTATTTTTCCATTTAAATAGGTAACAGTTATCAGAAGTAAAAACCAATGTTGCAATGACAAAAAGTAATCACGCATTGGATGTCACGGTAATAACACAACATCCGACAAGCTCATTTTATAATCAAATCAAGTTTCAAACGAATTTGATTCGTTTTTAGTTTGGATCGGAAGACGTCTTCAACTACTTTATATATGTTATAATACAAACAGAAAACATTTAGTAAATATTTAATTTAATCTAGTAAATATTTAGTATAAAAAAACCTATACTATACACTATACTCTATGTTCAAATATTAGATCTATTTATTTAGAGATTTATTTAATCTATTTAGAGAACTTTTACTTTACAGAGAGAATTCATTCCGTTTTTAAAAACATAGGACTAAAAAGTAAATAAAAATATAAACGAGCAATTTAAATATATTTAGATATTATACTTAACCTCAAATAAAATAGGAGCACCATTTTGATATTTCTAAAAAGCCAGTGCCAGCTAGGAATAAGGTCTTGATAGTACGGTAAGGGAGTATGTCAAAATGTAATTCTTTCAATTTAGCTATTGTTTTTATCGATCTGTGCGTTATTATTTTTGGTCCGATGTGCACAAACACGGCAGACACTTCGAAGGCAACGTAGACTAAATTCTGGTTTAAAGTTGTTAACCACTGATATCTTGAAAATATCGATAATCTCGTCCAATATCATCTGTCGGTTTCCTATTTTGTGAACTTTTTCATGTTTTTAGAACAAATGGCAATTGTGGGCAATCAGTGCGTTAAATATGATCGGTGTTTGTACAACCAAGTTCAAATTCAGTAAACCACCCAATAATAGTTAATCGCCTAAAGCATATAACGCTTCATGACGCTTATCAAGCCACTATTAGGCATCAAAAATATTTTTCTCCATTCAAAAACAATATTTAATTAACACCTATCATCTATTTTGTCCATTATTTTATATATTATCAATTTTGATCCACGACCTGTAATAATCATTCTGACAAAAGCATGATTCTACGATCATAAAATTTTAATTTTTTGCTCGCAAAAAACAGTTTCAGGTGACTTTTTCAGGCCACATCCTTAGTATTGAAGAGACCGGGATAAATAATCTTGATTATTGATTATAAAAATTATCATCAAGGTCATTATTTTAAATAAACAAATAAATAAGTAATTTTAATAATATTTTATATGCTTGATTGATTTAATATATATCAATCAAGAAACTTATTTCGATATTCATCCGTGGGGTCTTGAAATTAAGAGCACTCAATAAAAACCAAAACATTAATAAATTTTGTTGTTATTGTAGCAAATTTTTTTATTACGAAGTTGACTTTATTTTAAATTTTTCATATAATATTTTTTTTAGTAATAATTTATTTATTTTTTTTTAAAGATTTTCAGCAAAATTTAGCACAAAATAAAATGCACTAAGATATTAATTGACTAGAAAATAATATGTACTCGTTACTTGAGGGGTTTAAACGTCTATACTTTCCATTCTATAGTAATGTTAAAATTAGTTTTTTGTGTATAATATTTACAGTGAGATATATAAAATATTATAGAAACAATAATAATTAAATCAATTATTACATTTTTTTAAATTTAATCCTTTTTATGCATAGTAAAAAAATTTTATGAAACTTTTCGTTGGGACTGTTCTTCTCAGTGCACTACTTAAAAAAAAAAAATATATAAACGAATAAAAATGAATTAACAATAATAATAAGTTTAATTGATAAACTCAGTTTCTTTTTTTTTTTTTTGTATTATACATATTATATATTCGCAAAAGTGTTTGGTGAAAAATAGTTATATTATTTTTAAGCTGAAGCTAAAAACTGTGCCAAATCTTTAATTCGCAAGCTTTTTTTATTGCAAGGGGTTTTGTTAATTAATAAAAATTTTGCTTACTGTTCTTAGCAGAAAGAGATTTATTCTGACTCCTATTTGAAAAATATACCTTTAATATACAATAAAATTCTGACCTCAATCTAAGCAACTAGATTATAACTTTACATCTCTTAAACTTAATGTGTAAATCTACTACTATATGAAATCTTTGAGTTCTTTGGTAAAACAGGTACCGTCTCAATAATTTCCTGTACTATATTCTTGTGGTAATACTACTATTAGTTAAAGAACTTATAGTATAAACTTCATACCACAGTCTTGACAAATTCAAAATAAAAAGTGGATTTGTTTTCTATTCTTACTGATTTTTCCGTTAAAATTTTCTATTTTCAAACTTTTCTTATTCAACATGGTAGACATCCTTCTTATGTAAAGATAAAAATATATTTAAAAGTTTTTTAAAAATGACCCACATTACTATTCCATTAAAAATAAGCAAAACATTGATATTAGTTAGGTCCAACTAAAATGGCAATAGATTAATTGTATTACGTCTGTCTTTAATGGAAGTTATCTCTTTAAATAGACAAATTCCAGAGATGGAGAAACCAAGTAGGATAAAATAACTGGGATGTTAGTGAAACTTTTGTAGTTTTGTTATGGAAAATTATATATTTCCTACGACAAAATTTCTCATCTCTCCCTCTCTCATTACTCCTTTTCTCTCTCTTTTTTTCTTTATATTGAAAGAGCTAGTTCTAAACGATTCTGCGTGGACTAATTAAAAAGATTAGTCTAAGCTATATATAACTATAAGTTAGGTTGCTATACACTTCTTCGAAAATTTTAATAATTTTAGTCATCTTAGTATTTTAAAAAACATTTTATCTTATTAAACAGGCATATTCTATTAACAATGAATATACACATATGTATGAGTATAATGCTTCAATGCATGTCGGAGGTTTAAGTCCTTCAATCCCATTCACTATGCGATGTTATTAGTGTAGCTTTTCATGCGATTCAAAAACAAAATGTTTTTTAATCAAAATGTTTTTCTAGATTTATAAGAACACAACACCATATCTGAAATTTTTGGATGGTGTTGAAGAAACATTAATCTTAAGCTTTTAGAAGCTTTTCAAATATTAATATTTCAATAAGATATAAATAAAATTGAAATTATTAAATTAAAGTAAAAAAATTCATTCGAAAAAGAAATTGTAACCGAAATTACGAATTACTAAGAAGCCTAGGCCAACCTGTTCAATAATGCAATCCTGTTCAATAAGGAATACATACTAACTAAAATCAATACAAAATTAGTAAATTATTGGCATTATTACTGAAATTTAATTGACTTTTCTTAAGCATATATTGAATATGAAATAACTCAACTAAGAGTAATGTGAACTATTTATTTTCAAAGGTTTTAAAAATGACCGGGTTTACTTATCGCCCGTCACACCCTTCTCTGATAACTAAATGAAACTCACTACTTCCATTCAAGTGTGAAACGATAAGGAAATTTTTTTCTAATAAATCAAATAACTTTATATTTAATTAACCACTAAAATTTTATATAATTACTTTCCAAAAGCATGTCAATTGATTAGGGTTTCAATAAAAAGTAATAATAAATAATAATCTAAAAGTCTAAATTATTAATACAAATGGATGGTGTGAGATAAAAAATCTGCAAACTCATATTTTTTATATATCTCTTAAATATGTATTTAGGAGATTTTGTAGTAATTAATTCAAACATTGAAAATGTCTTTCAGTTCGAATAAAAAATAATCCAATGTGTCTAATGCTGAACTATAAACACAATACATTACAATTAATGTGGCATTTAATTGCGCTAATTGTGGTTTGTCTTAGGGCTGATTTCATAGTAAGTCTTAAAACTGACTAAAGTGTGAATTAAGTCA